TAAAGTCTAGGCTGGGCCTCCCTGGTGGCGCAAGGGGTTAAGCACTGCACTATGAAGCAGTCCACAGCCTCTGTAGCATGAGTTCGATCCTTAGCCGGCCAGGGAGAAATCCACATGGCGAGACAGACCTCTCCTGTCTTCCCCGCTGTTCCCCTCAACGGTGTATTTCAGTCAGTCTGCCTGTTCTGTTCCCCACTCTGTCTCTGGTGGATCCTCTCACCCCCCGCATCTCTGGCCTATACACCAGCTTTTGTATTGTATGCATAAATAAATAAAAATCTATAAAATAATAATAAAAATAAAGTCCAGACTTCGGGCTAGAAGTGAACAAAATAGTATGGGCAGTGGGTAGGTGAAGTGTGACCAAAAGGGCTGGCAGGGTTTCCTAGTTGAGGGAGTTCTGAGGATGGGATCCAAAAGAGAGCTCCTGAAAGTGTAGGCCAAGCCAACCAGAGGAGCAAGCTGACTTACTTGCCATCTGCTAGGCTGAGGCCTCGGAAGACTGGCTGAGCTGGGGGTCGAGGCCGTCCAGTCTGGTCCTCATACAGGAAGCGGACAGGTCGGCCAAGCTCCAGGCCCAGCTGTCGGACGCCCTGGGCACTGTAGAGGGTCAGGAGGGGAGCCTGCAGTCCAGGGCGGGTCCGGACAGCAGCCAGCAGAGAGAAATCTTTGGGGAAGCCTCCTAGTACCCGAGAGAGACACACCAGTGGAATCTTGGTAAAGAGAGCCATAAACCCCTTCCCTTCTAGAGTCTGGTCCCAGACCCCACCCCATGACCTCCTCCAGCTCCCCCTCATCTCCCACATCAACCATACCTGGGAAGAGCTGGCGGGTGGGTGCACTGAGCTGGGCAGGTCGGGATACTCGATAGGCCACATCAGCTGGACAGATGCCCCTCGCCTTCCGGACACCATCAGGGAGGGCGGGGAACCTCAGGGCCCGGAGCACATCCACAGGGGCTGTACCTGGGGGAGTCCAGGGGGTCAGGGGAAGGGATACACCCTCAGGTGAGTCTAGAAAGGGCACATTTGGGGTCTAGAACTCAGTTTCCTGGGGCTCAAACTCTCTGGGAGGTAAAGATGAGCTCTTCCTTACTTGCTCAGGAATGGCCCTGAACAGAGGAAAGGAAACCAGAGTCACCTGGGAAAAGGCAGCAGTGGTGCGCTGCCTCCCCCACCCCCATATTCAGTCCCAGGCCCTGTCCTGCCCCTCCCCCTCCCAGGGTCTCCCTCAGCCCTGCTCTGGACTCACTCCATGCCATCTCTCTCAGCTTTCCGCAGATCTCGCCTCTGTGTGTCACTTACTCTCTTTGTCTCTGTGTTGGTTTTTCTGTCTCCCTGTCCTCCCCCACTGTCCTCACACTCTAACTTTTTCTTTCCCAGTCTCTCTCCTGCTCTCTCACTTCTTTTCCCTATCTCTCAGTCTCTCAGTCTCTGGCCCGTGTCCCGTGTCTCCAGCACAAACAACATCTGGGCAATCGATCACCCTGGGCACAGGAGGAGCAGGGGGGCGTCGCCAGGGAGGGAGCACAGGGGCAGTGTGGCCATGGGGAAACGGCTTCAAACTTTCCTGCTTCTTGAATTTGGGGAGGTGGGCACCAGATGAGGAAGTAGATACAAGACAAAGTCACCCCCCAGGAATCTGTGCCCCAGGCTTAGGTGATGAGCAGGGGGGTGGGAAGACTGAAGCTGCCACGCGGAACCAGAGCTGGTCCAGGGCCTCCAGCCACACATCTGTGGATCCCATCAGCATCCTTGCCCAAAATGCAGGCAAGCTCCCCGCACCTGGAACTTCTCCCCTGCCCCACAGCCCCGCACCAGCCCTGTCCACCTAGAATTCAGCTTCATAAGGTTCAAACTCCAAGGAAGATGAAAGTCACCCCTCACATTTTCCCCAACACGCACACTACTCACACCATCAGCTCCAGACTGGAAAAATCCCAAAGAAAGTTCCAGCAAGACTTTCATAGAAGTGTGGGGTAGGGCAAGGGCCAGAGCGATCAGGAGAGCAGAGCTGGGTGGAGTGGGTGAGGTGGGGCGGGCAGGCAGAGAAAAGGCCCTTTGAGTCCAGGAGCCGGGAAACCACGGCCTTGCCCCTCCGCCCCCCCTCACTAGCCTGGCCCCCACATGTGGCAGCTCCGCAAACACCAACACACAAGGGCCGCTTTGAAAGACGAAGGGTGAGTGAGACAGAGACACAGAGACTCACAGAGACCCCAGGCCAAGGAGACCTCAGAGGCCCCTGAGCTCCACCAAAGCCCAGGAAAGTACAGTTCCATCCTATAGACAACCTACCCACAAGTCTGCCCACCCGCTTCCCAACTCACTCCACCTATGTGCCCCGCTGTCTCCAGCCCCGGTCTGCCCCACAGGCTCTACCCCATCACCCGCAATACTAGACCCCTGGCCGCCAAATGCCCCTTGTGAATTTCACACTAACCCATTTCCCTATGGCGTCCCCCCTCTGCCCACTCAACCCCCAAATAAGAGACAATCATCTCAGCCATGCCCCTGCCTCCATGCTAGAGGGTCTCCTTCCCCCCAGAAAGACACCTACAGTCTACAGACTTCAATTTCCTATCCCTGAACCTCAGAGTCCTTCCATCTTGGAAATTCTTCCTTCCGTAATCTAAAGTTTTTATGATGATATCCTGACCATTTCCTCTCCAGAGCAGGGAAGAAATGAGAAGTTAAGTTATACGATAATCAGCCACCAGAATTTCCAGGAGTTGGGGGGGGTCCCCCAACTACCTAGGACCTAAGTGCTCCCAGTCCCTTCTCTCTGACATCAATTCCCTCTCCTAGGAGCCAGGCCTTATAGATCCTGGGAAAAAGAAGGAAAGGATTGGGGTTGTGGACACCAGGGTCCCACGGGAGCCCTGTTGGCCAGAGGGGGAGGGGTGGGGCAGGAATGCAGAGAGTTGGCTCCCGCCTGAGACACCTGATCCCGGCCTGTCCAGCGGCCGTCCTGTTGGCAGCCAGCCCCAGTGCTCCCCAGAGCCAGCCGCGTGGCAGCATCGAGGGCACAGGGAGGGGGAAGGGGATTCTGTTGGGGGGGGCCAGTGGACTAATATTTCAGGTGTCCCTCCTTTCTCTACTTACTAGGACCTGCTCTGGCCACAGATGCTTCCCCCTTATACGAGAGATATATACAGAAAGCGCAGAAGACATGTACATACGCTGCACCCGTGGACACTGGCATCTACCCCACACCCACCCCAGCAGTGCTGGACCACACTCGCCCTGACCATCTCAAGTTCTAGTAGAAGGCCCCAGCATCCAGGTCCTCTCATGGTGCACTAAGAGGCACTCCCACCTCTCAGCCTTTCCTGCCTTCCCCCAGTCACATCCTGGCTCTGAGGGACCCAGGGTGTCCTGCCCTCCAGCCTGGAACCTTGACACTCCCCCATACTCCTTTTGAGACTCAGAATCTCCGCCTCAGGCATCGGCTGTCTCCTACCACAGGGACACTCAGAGCTCCAGTCGGACTCTGGCAGCCCCAGCATCGGGACAGGTAAGCCCCTCTTACCTGCCCAGGCCCGGGCGGTGCTCAGCCCCAACACCAGCGGCACCAGCAGGACCAGGCGATGGCAGCGGCTGCACCGCTCCATAACTGGTTACCGGAACGCTGGGTCCCAGGGGCCCTGAGGCTGCGGGCACCTCGAGGCTGACAGGAGAGTCAGGCTGTGAGCCGCGGACGCCTGGGTCCCGCGATCAAAGGCTGTCGGGTGGTGACAGCGCTCAGCCGCCCAGCTCCATGCAACGAGGCGCCGTCGGGGCTCCGGGGCTGCTCCCTCCTCGGTGGCCGCCGCTCCTGTGTGTCCCGGGCCACCCCGGCAGCCCAGAGCCCCTACCTCGCCCCCGCCCCCGGCCCAGCCCCCGCCTCCAGCCGCCCGCCCACAGCCACGGAGGGGAAACCCCACCCTCGATCTCCACCTGGGGAGGCGGGGCGACAACCTTCCCTCGCTGACCCTCGTTCAGCTCGCCCCTGCTCTCCGCAGAGAATCAGTGTCCTGCACCCTAAAATTCTCTTTTCGGTAATCCCAATACCTCTTCCCCAGCCCTTTCCTTTTCTAGGGCCCGGATGTCCAGTTACATCCCCCCACACACCCCAGTTCACCACCTCTGGGGAGGCCAGAACCCCCTTTTTGCAAAGTCCTGGGCGGGACTTCGGGCACAGTCAGTGGGTGGAGAGAGGAGGGCCTGAGGGTCTCTACCTCACCCCCCCCACTCTCCCCCCGCGCCCCCCTCACACACCAGATCTCCATAATTACGTCCCCTCGCCCCGCCCGGTAAAATTACAGAGCCTGGGCTGGGGCTGGGGTATTTATAGACCGGGCTATAGATAGCGACTCGAGACCCGCCACTCGACGGCAGCGGGGGGCGGGGGGAGGGAGTCAAGAGGAGCCGGCGAAGAGGCAGAGAGAGGCCAGAGACTAGACAGACCCACTGGCTTCTGGGGCCCAAGGAGATGAAAATGGGGCTTCCAGGTAAGGGGGTGCGGGCGCCCAGGTGGAAAGGGACCCGAGGAAGAAATGAGTAGTCATCACTAGTCGGAGGAGTCCGGGGAAAGAGGGTCATTCAGGGACGAGCGGCCGCCAGCCGGCGGGCAACGCCTGAGTCCGCGGTGCTCGGCGCCCAGCGCGCCCCCACGAACGGGCACCGCGCCGGGTCTGCCCGGAGCCCGCGGCGCGCCCGGAGAGAAGACGCGCGCGAGCCGAGACGCCGCCGCCCGCTGGCGCTGGGAGGGCGCTGGCGAACAAGGCGCCTTTGAGAAGCAGCCGCCCCCTCCTCCTGCCGCCGGCCCCGCCCCCAGCCTGGCACACCCTCTTCCCCCCCGCCCCGACAAAGCGCGCCTTGTGTCCCCCACCCCGCGCCCGCCTCCCGGCCCCGGGGAACCTCAGCGGCCACCGCGGCGGCCAGGGCTCCCGACCGGATACCCCCCCCCCAGGTCAACGCCGCGCCGCTACCCCACTGCCCCCGGCCCCCCCAAGAGTCACCTCGGTACAGAAAACATCGATTTTAATTTGAAAGCGATTTTATGTGTGAGTAAAAGTGAGGGGAAGGGAACTGCAGAGAGAAGAGCTGCAGGGCAAAAATCATGCAGCCCCGGCACCCATCTCTGCGAGCCGGCCGTCTCCCCTCAATACTCAGGCCAGGATCCTGTGCGCCCAGCCTGCGCGGTGTGTACCCAGGGCCGGGGAGAGCAGTGAAGGGAAGGGCTTGAGGACTACACGCCAAACCATCCCCTAATGGCTCAGCCACGTCTGCCGGGGCGCTTCTCCAAGTTAGATAGAAAGAGATGGGGGAGGGGAGGGGGCAGACCACCTCAAGGCCCTGCCTTTCCCCACACCACCTCCACCCCTGGCATCTCTTAGTCAGCCTGGGAAAGTACAGTACTTCTTTGAGTCTAACTGCAAGTCTCTATCCTTAGAGGAAATTAAAAATAGCAGATGGGTCTTAAATCTCCACCTGCCCCTTAACTCCCACCACCTTTGTATTTTTCAGTCCGATTGCAGGTGAAGCGTGAGAGGGGACTCTGGACAGGAGACAGCACGGCCCCCTTTTCCTCTTCCAGAGTCGCCCCCATCTGCTGGGCTTGGTTAGAGGAAGGTCTGTCAGAGCATTACTCCCATGTCCATCAATTTGGGGGGCCTGCCCCCCAAATCTATCTCTGGGGAAGTTCCCATTTCCACTCTTCAGAGAGGGATCTTGGTGAGACAAGATGAGGAGAAAGCAAAATCCTGGGAGCGAGGCCAGTGCTTTGTGCTGAGGGAAGGAGATTACTCCAGGTAGGGGGTAAGAAGTCACCCCAAATCACGGGAAACTCAGACAAATTCAGAGACTCAAGGCCACTGGAGAGATCCAGCCCTCACAGGATTCTGGGGTCCCTCTGACTTGGGATATCAACAAGCCCCTCGGAAGTCTCAGTTATGCCCTGTACTCCTCACCCCACCAAGGTTCTAGGAATACGGCCCCTCCCCACCCTGCCCCAAGGCTCGGAGTCCCTGTCCGACATTCACTCCTCAAGTGTGAGGAGCACCTCATCTGGGTCTGGGCTCAGGCCAGCTGGTGGGGAGCCTCAAGCATTTCCATGAGGAAGGTGTCAATGGGGGTGTCGCCAATGAGCTTGAAGAAAAACAGATGCTCTAGACACTTAAGGCCGATGGACCTGAGGGCAGGAAGACGTAGCAGCAGCTTGGCAAACCTGAGTTGGGGGTGGGAAGAAACAAGTGAGAGCTGGACTCACATTGACCCTGAATATACCCTTGTCACACCCCACACCCCCAAGGGACCTTGGTTCCCACAATCCCTCACCCCACAACTCTCTCACCGTCCCTGCTGCTCAGGGTACTTCTGTTTGCAATAGGTCTCCAGTGACGCATACACTTTCTCCCGCAGCACCTCCACTTCACTGGGGTTGGAGAGGCCCTTGGCATCTGGGATGGCAGGGAAGACAGGAGGAAGAGGAAGGAAGACAAATCAAATGAGGACAAACACAGAAATGTGGCCCACACAATGTTCCTTTTGAGCCCCTTCCCCCCAGATGACTGGCAAGGGAAGCAGGATGTGTTGGGTTTCTGGGATGGGTTCCAAAAGGGAATATATCAGTACATGCGGACTTTTCTTGGTCAGCTGGGTTGAGGGTCTTACTGAGGGGATAGTTGGGTAACTTAGGAGTCTCCGGAGAAGAGGAGGCTCCAAGGTTGCCTTGGTCTCGAGAAACAGGGGTGATCTTCCTCTTACCTGGATTGAACAGAATGATTGCCCTCAGGCAGCCAAGCTCTGTCTTGTCCATCCTCATGTCACGCATTTTGGACACTAGCTCTGTCAGCACCCTGGAGAGGGACCTGCAGGTCACTCAAAGGTCACAGCTCAGCCAGCCTTGGACACGGACCAGCCTATAACCCCACCCCATCTACCTACAGGCCTTAAGGCCAGCCTAGCCGAGGGCCACTGACCGATCAAAGATGGCTCCCACGCCTGCAGAATGGGCTGAGTTGCGGTGCACATGAAGACCTGTAGCGAGGAGGATGCCATCTCGGACATCAATGGATCGGTGGGAGAAAGAAGCAATGAGGAGCTCGTTCCAGCCTGGGTGGGGAGCAGCAAGGGTCAGGAGCCAGAGAGCAGGCCATGGGATTCAAAGCAGATCGGGGAAGAGGAGAAGAGGTACCAAGGTCAATGAGCTTAACTCCCTGAGTATGCCAGCATGCACTGGGGTCACTGGAGGTCAAGAAGTCAAAGAGGGGTCAACTGTCAAGAAGTGAAAGGGATTCAAGGTCACTGACCTGCCCGCAGCAATATGACCTGGTCATCCAGAGGCAAGGAGGAAAAGTGTGGGATCCTCTTCGCCCACTCAACAAGCGTGAACAGCTGTTTGTCAGCTGCCTGACAGATGTTAGTCACAGGGTCATTTGGCTGCAGGGGACGGGGAGTAAGAGTTATGGAAGATTTGGAGGTACACTGTGAGCCCCCCCCCCCTTGTAGTAAGAGGCTTTAAACATCCCTCATTAGGTGCAGTCTCTCTCCAAGTCCCATCTGAACCAATCCCTGTAAATCAGACTTCTCTTCTACCATTCATGAAAACAATTATTTGGAAGCTGCCTGTGGTTCTGCCAGTGGGTTGCTTTGGGGTGAGGTCAGAGGAAGCTAGCACACCCACCTCAGATGTTTGAGAGACCTTGTTTGGCAGCTCTTCCAGTCTCGGGCAATGTTAGGAGGGTTGTGAGGGGAGGGAGGAGAGGGGAGGTAGAACAGACCTAGACTCCCGCTCCCACCCCCATCAGGAAGAAGAGTGGATCAACCCCATCACTCACGCTGCTGCCGCTACCCCCGGTTCCCCCAGGACCCTCAACGCCCTGGTCACTCTTCTGTTCCACCGCAAGCTCTGCCTCCAGGATCCTGTCCACAGGCATCTCCTCGGGGGCTCCCCCAGCCCCCTCCCCATCCCCATCCTTGTCCTTTCCCCGCTGACGCTCCTCCTGTACCGCTGGGGGGAGGGGCAAAAGGGGGAGAAAAAGTGAAAAGTCAGCAGCCAGCTATGAGGGGGTTCCCAAATGTCCTCAAGCCTTATCAGGGACTCATGGCCCTTAGGAGATATTTATAGTCACTAGAAACAACACTGGATTGGGAAGGGGAGCGTGCAGTCTGGAAGCCGGGGTTACACAAGGTCAGATTAAATAAGCCAAGAAAGAAAAGGAAAGAGGGAGGGTAAAAGAATTAGGCAGAAAGCTTACATATCCACTGAGGGCCCACTACAAGCTTAGAAATGTGTAAAACATATTTTAACATTCATCCAATTTTTACAAGGACTCTGTGAGCTCTTGGACCCCCTCTTTTAGATGAAGAATTTGGGGCCTTCACATCAGAAGTGAAATAGCTTGCCAAGTTCACACAATACATGGCAAATCATACATTTGAATCCAAGAGCACCTGACTATAATTCTTGTATTCTGAATAAACAAACAGGCGGTGAAAGAGGCACTGGCCTGGGTGGGTCTCTAGAGATGGGATCCCGGCCCTGCTACTCTCGTGTTGCATGACCCTAGGAAAGCCAGGTCTCAGGCTCAGCATCTCTAAAATGAGGGTTTTGACCAAGAAAAGGTTCTCACTCAGAATTCCAGAATGGGACTCGAGAAGGTAAGACAGAGATTAAAAAAGGAAGGTCTTCAGAAAGGTCTGCTGCAGAAGAAGGTAAAGTCAGAGCCCACAGGACACACCACAGATAACAAGGAAACAGATCAGAGAGGAAGCATTGGGTCAAAGAGAGAAAAGACTATTAGGTGTTAAAAGGGGAGGGACAGAAAGCCATCCTGGGGAAGGGCAAGTTATCCTACCCTAGCATCAGACCTGTGGGGTTCCTGGGTTTCTCTGGGGGAGCGGACTGGGGGAAGCCCAATGAAAACTCCCAGACCAGGGAGGGCCACAAAGACAGAATCATTAAGACAGAAACTCAAGGGACCAACCAGACCTGGGAGAAGGGTACCAAGGAGAAGAGAGTATGAGGAGGGAAGAGAACTCAAACACTGCCCTCTGGAGGAGGGAACAGTCCAGTCCTGAGAGGTGTACAGTCTGGGTTTCAAGGGTCCTTCTACCCCACCCCCCAATAGATTCAGAGTGAGAATTCTGGTAGGAGCACGCCCTTACCCTCCCTCTTCATGCCGGTGGCCAGGCACTTCTGATAGCGGCAGTACTGACAGCGGTTCCGCTGGCGCTTGTCCACAGTGCAGTCCTTGTTGTCGCGGCACGAGTAGGTCAGATCTTTCCGGATGGTGCGCTTAAAGAAGCCTTTGCAGCCCTCACAGCTGTAAACCCCATAGTGTTTGCCTGGAGGTGTGGTGGGGGGAGAAAAATAGTAGTAACAAGGGTGCTTGTAGACCCCTTGCCATTTAAGTCCCTTGCCAACTTCCCTTCAGCAACTCGGTGTAAGTTCATTCTGTGTCAAATACAGAGGAAAGAACCAGGACGTGAGAGATGATTCAGTCCCACTTTCCTCACTTTAAAAAACCCTATAACAGGCCCCACTTCTCCTTGGCCACCCCATTCCCATATCTGAGCTTCAGGTTCTTTAGTTTTCTTTGGGCCCCCTCCCAGTTCACTCCCCCAGAGAAACCCCATGAGTCCCCAGGAACCCCACAGGATGGTAAAAGGCAGATTCTCTTTTTTCTTCTCTAGGTCCCATACCTGAGCTTCGGTCCCCGCAGATTGCACAAAGTCGTTTGCCAGCCCCAGGGCCACCGGGAGGGGGTGGACAGTGCAGGCCCCGGACCCCTAAGACCGGTGGCTTCACATCTTCAGGGGGGACAGAACCACCCCCAGGGAGCGACACTGTTGAATTAATCTGGGATGGGGAAATAGGGAGTCACAGAGGGACTCATTGGGAAGGAGAATCTCTCGGGGGTGACAGAAATCAATCCCTACCACACAGGCAGGGCCCTGCATTGCACATTCCAGAGGACATTACTTACACTGCAGTCTATGTAAAGGGCCACCTCTGAGGCACAATCCCAAAGAAATTAGACATACAGTTCCCCCTGAAATTGTGCAACACAGTAGCCCTGAAGGGCACGTATCTCAGAAGGGCAGATGGGACAAAAAGGGCAGAAAATCACTGACAGATGAGAGGGACATCAATAATATCAGGGTTCTTTCCTAGGATTGTTAAGGAAGCATGCACTGAAAGATTAGTCACCTCAGGAAGGGTAAGGGGTCTCACAAGGACCACAGGCCTGCCAGGATTAGAGTACTAGAAAGTCAGTGAGCCATGGGGAAGTTCACACAAGGATCTTGGGTCACAAGGAAACAGGGAATGAAAGAAGAGAGGCAGTAAATTGGTCACAACCTCTCACCTGGGGACTGCTGACAGGCCCGGAGAATCCAGGGGGAGCTGGAGGGGGCAGGCCAGGGGACCCCATGGAAGAGCTGATGACAGGGAAGGGGGAACCCAGTGGGGGTGGTGGCATCGGGGGTGGAGGTGGGGCCCCAGAGCCTCCAAGGGATGGGGCTGCTGAAGGGGGGAGGGGTGGCCCAGGAGAAGGGGGAGGGGCACCCTGGGGGAGGGGGTTAGGGGAGGAACTATCTGGGCTTCGGGAGTCTGAGAGAGGGGTACAAAGAGGCACAGAGAGACACAAACAGGAGAGACAAAAAGAGAAAATGAGTCTTCAATTGATCACTCAACTAGAGACTTTAATTCTCTCTGATCCCCCACTTTCCCCCCACCCCACCGACCTCATCCATCCCCAAGTCATCACAAAACAGTTTAACTTCTAATTGTGGTGAGAGGTGTAGCAGATGACAGAGAAGGGCTGTGCAGGTGAGAAAAAAAACAAACAATGCATCTGGTCACCCCGAGCCCGAGGCATCTCGTGCGGGTGAGGCAGCACGTGGGGTGGGAGCAACCAGGCCCTCCACTCCCAGCTTGTAGCTGGAGCGCGCAGGGGGCAGAGAGAGTTGGAAGAGACCCTCCTAGGACGCAGGACCTGCCTTCAAACATCCAGAATCTTCAAGCTGGAGGGACCGCGTCCCACGCCCGGAGCCTCGGGTGCGCAAGGCCTCAAGCGGCCGCCGCTAGGAAGGCGGAAGCTCCCCCTCCCCGCCCCGCCCCGGGGGGAGGGCGCTGGGGCCCTCGCGAGGGAGGGGACGCGTGTTTACAAACAAGGGGGCGGGAGCGGCCGGGAAAGAGCGCCGGGGGAGAGGGGGAGGGGCTGCTGATAAAGCGGTCACGGGCCCGCCAGTCCGTCGGCCATGGCACACTCACCCCGCCCGCTGTCGCCCATCCCGTCCCGTCCAGCCTCCCCCGGCTCCAGCTCCGGGGTTTGTTGTTCTCCGGCTGCCGCCGCTGCTGCCGCCGCCGCCGCCGCTGCTGCGGGATCCAGCCAGGGCCGTCGCCGCCGCCACCGGGACGCGACCCCACAATGCATTTCTTTTCGCACCCCCACCGGCCCACACTGCCCCGCGGCATGCCGCTGGGGGAGGAAGGGCGGGCGAGAAGCCCAAGACATGATTCCTGCCTGAGTGTAGGGATGCCGAGGAGGTATACCAGGGATGCCCAAGGGCTGATCGGGGGACTAGCTGAGCACGAGGACGCCCCAGAGAAAAAGACTCTGGCCTGAACCGGCTCGAATTAAGGGCTTCGCTCTGCCCTGTACCAAAATGACAGCGCCGATGTGGCAGCCATCTTGGTATAGACGGGAAGTCTCCGCGCTAGTTCCCGCCCCCTCGTCTAGTTGGAAACGGAGGAGGCGGTCTCCTCGGGCCTGGTAGCCGGCCTCGCCCGGCCTCCCCTCAAATAACCTCCGCATCCGCGCATGCGCGCCACGGCAAGGCCGCTTTGCCTCTACCGGAGTTTCTCCATGTTGGTAAAGGTATTGGGACGGGGCTAGAACGGGACTTCCTGCTCTCGCGGGAGCTGGAGGCGGGACTGCCACGTCCGACCTAACCGGGAAAGGAGAGGACCCCGGAGCCGGTGAGAACTCCCTGCTTTCCCCTACCATCCTTTCTAGACCTTTTTCTCCACCTGGGGGGTCATAGAGACGAGGGCCCAGAGAGACCCTAAAGTGGGGGATCCAAGCCTAGAGCGGTGTCCCCCCCCCCCCGGGGCCCTACATCCGGGAGGGGGTACGGGATAAAGAGAACGGGTCTTGGAAACAATGTGGGTGGGAACAGAATGGAAGGGGGGCGCGACCCATAGAAGTGAACGGAGGGCGTGAGCGAAATAAAGCGGACCCTGCATAAGTATAGAGTTGAGGGTCAAGTGGAGTCACTTTCTCTGTCCCTCTGGTCAGCGTGATGGCCAGAGGCCTGGGGGCACCCCACAGGGTGGCAGTGGGACTGCTGACCTGGGCGGCCTTGGGGCTGCTAGTGGCCGGACACGGGGGTCATGGCGAGCTGCACGAGGACCCGCACGAGGACTTCCATGGCCACGGCCACAGCCACAGGCACTCACATGAGGATTTCCACCATGGACACAGCCATGCCCATGGCCATGGCCACACTCAAGAGAGCATCTGGCATGGGCATACTCACAGTCACGACCATGGACATTCACATGAGGATTTGCACCATGGTCATAGCCATGTGCACAGCCATGGAGGCTATGGGGAGTCTGGGGCTCCAGGCATCAAGCAAGACCTGGACACTGTCACTCTCTGGGCCTATGTGAGTCCCCAAGGGATGGGGGAGAGAGGGTGGTTCTGGATTATTGGCAAACCCAGCACCACTTGACCCTGACTCTCTCTCAATAGGCACTGGGGGCCACAGTGCTGATCTCTGCAGCTCCATTTTTTGTCCTCTTCCTTATCCCGGTGGAGTCAAACTCCCCCCGGCACCGCTCTTTGCTCCAGATCTTGCTCAGTTTTGCTTCAGGTGGGCTCTTGGGTGATGCCTTCCTGCACCTGATCCCTCATGCTCTGGGTAAGTGATCTCTTGCCTCTACCTCAAATCTTAGTATGTTTTATTCTTTGAGCAAAAGGGTTCTTCCCCTTTTGTAATCCCTAATTTGCAATTTTCTCCCAAATACGTAACACATGGAGTTTGGTATGCCCATGTCTGACCTTTTCTCCCCCTTCTTCCAGAGCCTCATTCTCACCATGTTCTGGAGCAACCAAAGGGACATGGACACTCCCACAGTGGTGAGGAAGGAACAGAAGATGATGAGGGTTGGGGTGCTAAGGAAGGCTTATTCCTCCCTATTCTTCTGCACTTGTGGCAGAGGAGTATGGAATCCCCATCTCCCTTAATATCTCAATGCCTTCATTCCCAGGCCAAGGCCCCATTCTGTCTGTTGGACTGTGGGTCCTTGGTGGAATTGTCGCCTTTCTTGTGGTGGAGAAATTTGTAAGACATGTGAAAGGAGGACATGGACACAGTCATGGACATGCTCACAGCCACACACATGGAAGTCACGGGCATGGAAAGCGGGGTAAGCCCAAGAACACAAGTCTCTTTGCCTGCCTCAGAATCCTCTTATCATATGGCTTTTACGTGGGAAGGGACTTCTTTTTTGAAGATATATGGGCACGTTTGTTATCAACTTCTTTGTTTCCTCAGAGCATTCTTCGAAGGAGAAGCAGAGCTCAGAAGAAGAAGAAAAGGATGCAGGGGGGTTAAAAAAGAGGAAAGGAGAAAACATGGGGCCCAAAGATGGGCCAGTAAGATCTCAGAATTCTGAAGAGGAAAAAGCAGGTTCAGGTGAGAGCTGGAGCCTGTGATACACTTGGGTGAGGGATATTGTTGTGAGTCACGTGGAATTTGCACTGTGGGTAATGGCAGGTGTCTGAGAAACATGGAGGCGCTGGGTGTGAAGTGGTCTGGGAGTATGCTTATGGCTGACTACTGCTGGGACTAGGAGTGATGGATGTCTCTAATCATCTTCCTTTACCAGACCTACGTGTATCGGGGTACCTGAATCTGGCTGCTGACCTTGCACACAACTTCACTGATGGTCTGGCCATTGGTGCCTCATTTCGAGGGGGTCGGGGGCTAGGGATCCTGACCACAATGACTGTCCTGCTACATGAAGTGCCCCATGAAGTTGGGGACTTTGCCATCTTGGTCCAGTCTGGCTGCAGCAAAAAGCAGGTTAGTGATGATGTGCACCAAACATGGTTGCCCCAAACTTTTAACCCCTGTTCATCCACCCCAAACCCAAGACTGCCTCTCATTAATTCCACACAAGTCACACTGTTACTGGTAACAGATCCCATAGAAATGAAAGGGAAGAAGTCCTTTGTCCTGTGACTCAATATTTTTTGAACTGAGATTCATAAGCCATCTCTAAATGGCTTGTGGGGTCTTTCACTGCTCCCTGTCCTGACCTACTGAATCAGATGATGTGTGGTAAAGATCTCTTTGATTACTAAGGTTCTTAAGAAAATGTCTATTCTAGACCTCCCCTCTTTTTGCCTTACTCTTTTCGTTTGCAAAGACATGCCCATTACCCATATATATACACTTGTATCCCACCTCTCTCTCTTTTCTGTTCACTAGGCGATGCGTCTACAACTCCTGACAGCAATAGGGGCACTGGCAGGCACAGCCTGTGCCCTCCTAACTGAAGGAGGAGCAGTGGGCAGTGACGTTGCAGGTGGTGCAGGTCCTGGCTGGGTTCTGCCATTCACTGCAGGTGGCTTTATCTATGTAGCAACAGTATCCGTGTTGCCTGAGCTGTTAAGGGAGGCTTCACCCTTACAGTCACTTCTGGAGGTGCTGGGCCTACTGGGGGGAGTCCTCATGATGGTGCTGATTGCCCACCTTGAGTGAGAGATTGGATAAATCCCCCCACCATGGCCCCAAACCTCTAACCCAAGTCCTGCAGGTCAGGGGTCTGTGGATATTTTGGGGGCCCTGACTAGAGATATCTGCCAAGAAAGGAGTTGTTCTTGGGAAGTGTTGACTTTGGCAAGAGGGCCTTCAAGGTTTGCCAGACTTAAGGGACTTCAGAGGTGAGAATGAGAGGCCAGAGGGACCATAATGTTGGGCATGTGCTGACCATGTTGTTGGGTTTGTGGGGCTAAGTGGGCCATGAAGAGTAGAAGAGGGAGGGGTCATGGCAGCCTACCTGTGGTCCCCTACACCACCTGTTCTCAGAGGACCAAGCCGGCACACACAGGCTCCTCCCACTTGGCTGAGCATCAAGGAAGATCAGAGCCCAGGACCGAGCGGGTAGCAGTGGGGATAAACACCAATCGTGCGTCCTGATTTGGGAGTGATTGGCGGGGAGGGGGCGTTAGTTGCTAATCTCATGGCCTAATTTTTTATTTGTTTCTATTCTTTTTATATCAATGTTTGAATCGAGTGGGAGGGTGATGACCGGAAATAAAAACGTTAGATTTTCCCGCCCCACGTGCTGTCTTTGTCTTTTTGGGGTGAGGTTGGGGAATCCTAGACTACTCACTCCCCGGATCCCAAGCGCCGGACGTCCCACGCGGCGGTGCCTGGCCCCGCCCCCGCGCCGGCGGGCGGCCTGCGCTGGCTGTCCACGCTGGCCGGGCTTCGATTGGCCCGGCTGTGCTCGCGCCACGCCCCCTCTGTTCTCGGATTGGCTTGTTTCTGGGGCGTCCGCCTGCCCACCGCCCACCATGGCGTCCCAGCTCCGGCTCCGCTCCGCGCTGGCTCTGGTCACAGGTTGAGGGGCTGCTCTCCTAGGGCGGGCTGGGTTTCCCGAGTCATGTCAGGGCCGCGCAGGATTTTGCAGGTGCTGTCACCTCTGGCTCCTGCTCCAAATGTACTGACTTTGCGCCCTGTTGACCTCTGGCCCCTACCCACTCCACGGGGCCCCGGGTCCGCTCAGCGCGTTCTCTCCCACCTCAGGTGCGGGTAGTGGTATCGGCCGAGCGGTCAGTGTGCGCCTGGCCGGAGAGGGAGCCGCCGTGGCCGCTTGCGACCTGGACGGGGCAGCGGCACGAGAGACTGTGCGGCTGTTGGGCGGTCCGGAGAGCGCAGAGGGGGCGCCCCGTGGGGATCACGCGGCCTTCCAGGCTGACGTTTCTGAGGCGGGGGCTGCCAGGCGCCTGCTTGAACAAGTGCAGGTGAACGGAGATAACCTCTTCCCCTTCAAAGCGCTAAGGTTGCATCCACTCTCCTGGCTCTTCGTGGCTTATTGGTGTGTGACTTCCCCTCCCACAGGCCTGCTTTTCTCGCCCACCATCTGTTGTTGTGTCCTGTGCGGGCATCACAAGGGATGAATTTCTGCTCCACATGTCTGAAGATGACTGGGACAAAGTCATAGCTGTCAACCTCAAGGTGGTGACCCCTGAACCTGTGACTTCTGGCCCCTCTAGCCTGGAGAGAAAGCTGGAGAAGGACGATCACCCCAGCTGATTCTTTTTGCCTTGTTATTCTCTCCCCCTAGGGCATCTTTCTAATCACTCAGGCTGCAGCCCAAGCCATGGTGACTAGTGGTTGTCATGGCTCCATCATCAACATCAGCAGCATTGTGGGGAAGGTCAGTTTGATGTGGGACCAAGTCAGCCAGCCAGCCAAGTGGGCATAGAGTATAGGCCCTCTTTGGAATTCCTGACTCATCCTGAATCTCTGACTCACCCATAGGTGGGGAACGTGGGACAGACCAACTATGCAGCATCCAAGGCTGGCGTGATTGGGTTGACCCAGACTGCAGCCCGTGAGCTTGGACGGTTGGTCAGACACATGGGGGGTGATGGGAGCTTTGCTGAACCATGT